TATCTTTGTATAAGTCCTTTGTTTCTCTGGTTATATTTATTCCAAGATATTTCATCCTTTGGGTGGCTATTGTGAATGGTATTGCTTTCCTAATGTCCCTTTCAAAACTGTCGTTTTTGGTATTCTCATATAGATTTTTTAAAAATTGTTTTATTGTGAATTATGTGATAGTTTACATGGTAGAACATTAGCTTTGCATTCCTCCTATTGTATATCATTTCATTACCATGGTTACAATGCCCTCAATGCAGCATCAACCAACCAAAGGGTATACCCTGCAAGCCTGTTCCCTGGTCCTAAGCACACAGCCCCTTTCCCTCTCTGGGTCCAAAGTCCCCAGCCGCTCCATCTCTCTGCCTCTGGCGTCACTGTTTCTCTGAGTAGGGTCCTGCACTTCGCTCTTCTGTTCTCATATAGATTTATGAGACTTTCTAGCAGTCTTGGAAACCCTATTAGATAGTTCTACTCTGTTCCATAGGGTTGCTGTGAGTCAGAATTCACTCAATGTCAACAGATTTGGTTTGGTGCAGTGGTTACATGCTGGTCTACTAACAAGAAAGAAAAGGTCTCTAGGGCAAACCCACCCATTGGTTCCACAGTAGAAAAGACCGGGTGATTTTTCTCTATGATTCCAAAGCCATTGCCATTGAGTCACAGACTAGAAAATCCAGTGAAGTAGTTCTGCTTTGTCATATGGGGCCACTGAGTCAGAATCAAATGTATAGCACCCAACAACAATAAACTATTTTACTCGTTTAGCGTCTCTCTCCCTCACTACAAACTCTATTTTATTTATTGATATCTCTTGCGCAGCTAAAACAGTATACTCCGTAATTCAATAATCATTTGTTATACAAATAAACCCACCTGTAAAAACGGAGATAATAGTGTATACCTCATAGTAGATTGCTATAACTTAGAAACCACTCACGGCAACTGGTTTGATTTTTGGTTTTCCTAGTTAGCTGGATACTAGGGTTGTTATAAATATTAAATGACACATTGAAAGAGCTTAAAACATAGTGCCTAGGCACACACTATTATGATTATTTTAGGTTGCTTCTTAGTCAACTAAACTTCAGGAGAGGGGTGGAGGATTTTCCAACTTTTCTGGTAGATTTTTACTTTTGATCAGTCTCCTTTCCCCTGTATTTCCTGGGTCACTCTCCCAAAGGAGTTCCCGGTTCCAAAACAAGTAATCAGACAAGTCTAACTGGTCCTTCAAGAAGAGGATCAATGGGATAAGCAGGTGCACCTGAGCCCGAACTTTGACCAAGCGCTTTCTCCCTTCGCCTTACTTCCCAGTCGACGACTCTGAAAGGAAACCAACCACAACTGCTACCTCTCTGACTCAAGCGCAAAAACCATTTCTCTAGCCCGGTTGATTCCAATAGCAGTGGAAGAAAAGCCACGGAAGCGGCAATTGGAAGCTTCCCTTCCTGAGCAGGCGCGCTCAGCCACAACGCCACAAACCCACGACTATCGCGATAGAAAAGCAAGACCCGTGCTGGCCCTTTAACAGCCCCTTCCTGGGGACCGACCCCGCGCGTGCGCACTGTGGTTCTGCGCTTGTCATCATGGCGACGCGGGGCCATGTGCAGGACCCTAACGACAGGCGCCTCCGGCCCATTTACGGTGAGTGTCTGAGGCTAGCTCGACCGCCAGGCTGATGTGCCGAGGGCTGCCTAGTCCTAGGCGAATACCCTGGAGGGGTGCCGAAGACGCGGGCGCGGGGCCGACGGGTGCGGGGGGCTAGCCGCGCGGACATCTAGGCCGCAGCCACGGCCCTCGCGTTACCGCCTGCCTGGAACCCTGAGCCCCGAAGCCACGGCGTCGCTGTCGGGGCAGCGGCGGGTCTACAGAGCTGGTTCTAAAGGCAAGATCGGTGGGGTGCTTTTTCTGGCAGAAATCTGCGCTGCCCTCAGGCTGCGTCGTTGCTGCCGTTTCAGAGGAGACCCGAGATAACTCCCTGCGGGGAAGCCGGCTCTGCTTTGAGGATGGGACGCTCTACCTGAGAGAAAATTTCGCTTAGAAGATTTTTGACTTATGGGAACAGGGGAATGGATGGTGGTGTCGGACTAGTGCACAGGGAGAAATCGATGTCTAGAGAGGGGAAGGGGCTGATGCAAGGTCACCCAAATCGACATTGGAGCAGGCCGGGGATTCGAGACACCAACCGTGAGCTCTTTGGTGAAGAAACAGCTGCTCTGGGCACACGTGGGAGACTGTGGGGGGCGGGGGGTCTTGGGCCCAAAGTAGCGGTGAAGAGACTGCGCTCGTTGGTGCCTGAGGGGCAGGCTGGCTGGACTGCGGCGGGACTCTTGTGCAGCTTCTCTATGGTTTTCTCTGTAGCTTGCCTTCCGCGTGGAGCTCCCTCCATAGTGCTTACCTCAACCTGCAGGCTTTAAGACCTCGACATCATCCCGCTACTCCGATTGGGAAAAAAATGCACAGATTTGAGTGTGTGAAGAAGCACACCTTTTGAATAACTGCGATGTTCTGTCAGTTGGACGTTGGTCCACTTTGCGTTTCTTTTCTTTTTAGAAGATTGTATGGGCTTAGTCTGTCTCGCTTAATAGTGTGGAAGCGTCAATGTTCGTGGTTTTAGCAAAATGAAACCTATGTATTATGTGGAGCCTACTGTTGTTGTTAAGTACCTTGGAGTCGGTTCCAACTCATAGTGACCCTGCACAGGGTTTCCGAAGCTGTAAATCTTTACCGGAGCAGAAAGCTTCATCTTTTTCCTTCGGAGCAGCTCGTAGTTTCGAACTGCTGACATTGAGATTAGCAGCCTGATTCGTAACCTCTACGGTACCAGAAGGGGTTCTAAATATGGGTGAGATCATCTCACTTTTGGGGGGATGGCAGGAACTTTGTGTTTCTGGCACAATTGGCCCTGCTGTTTTATTTTGTAGGATGCTTTATGTTCGTATCTCATCTTATTGTGGCAGCAATTTATGATACTTGCTAATGTGTGTAGATTGCTAATTATGCGCCAGGCACTGTCATTGGCCTTTTCTATGGGTTTTTTCAGTGACTCTTAATGATATTCTGAGGCAGTTCTGTTTTTTGTCTTTTTTTTTTTTTTAAAACTCTCTCTTTTTTTCTCTCTCTCTTTAAACAGAGAAGGAAATTGGGGCTTTATTGATGTGCAGTTTGTCTCAGTCAGTCAGCTGGTATTTGGTGGAGCTAGGATTTGAACCGGGGTGGACTGTAGCAAGTGCATCCTCTTAACCACTGTGCTGGTGTGGTGTTCTAGGATAAGCACTGGACTGCTAACGAAAAGATTGGTGGTCCAAACCCACTAGCTGCTCCTAGGAAATCCTATGTAGAGTTGCTATGAATCAGAACCGACACCTAACAACAGGATTTGAACCCCTGTGGACTGTTGTAGGCTCATCCTCTTAATCACTGCTGTAGAAACCACCTTCTTTTGAGTTGAGGACACTTGCTAAATTCACCCACATAGGAGGACACAGATGTTCATTCCTGAGGGATGCTTATTCTCAATGCACTCTAGTGTTAATGTTTTCCGATGGCAGAGATGATACAGACTAAGAGTTGAATCCAGGATTCACAATTTGTGGCTCATTTTAGCTCACTGCAGCAGCTGCCTGCAGACTTTTTTTTTTTTAAACAGATAAAAGGAAGAAGTCAATACAGTTGAGAATAATATAGGATCTAAAAAATTGTACTTGAGGACCAAGGAAAATGCCTTTAATCTGATAGCAGAGTGTTGAACTCTCCATGAAGAAAAACCATGTCTTTGTCACATTGCTGAACATCAGGATATGTTAACCAAAAGTGACTTGTCATATTCTAAATATTGGAGTCAGAATTGTATAGTTTTTGTTGTAGCTACATGGGAAGAGGATTAGAAGAGATGCCTTCTTAAGAATCTAACATGATTAATATAAACTGGCAAGAATAAAAAAAAGGGTACAGACTGTTCTTGACTTGAGTACTTTTTACTTGATTTTTAAATCCACCAATACCCATAAACCCTGATTGCTCCTTGAATTCACATATTCATTAGCTGACACAGGAATAAACTCATGGTAGTGCTTGCCCACCAGCCAAAAGTTCAACAGCTGCCAGCATAAATTTAGTGCTTACTTGTGTACTAACTACCCTGTGAAGTGGTGGTGGTGGTGGTTATGTGCCACCGAGTTGGTTTTGATTCAAAATGACCCTCTATAGGGTTTATGAGGCTGTAAATCTTTATGTAGCGGAAAGCCTCATCTTTTTCCTGCTGAGTGACTGGTTGATTTGAACTACTGGCCTTGTAGTTAGCAGCCCAGCTCATAATCTATTATTCTACCAGGGCTCCTTACCTCTATGAGGTGTTGTTATTGTAAGTGCCATCAAGTCAGTTCTGACTCATAGCGGCCCTGTATAGGGCTTCCAAGGAGCGGCTAATGAGCGTGAACCGCCGACCTTGTGGTTCAAACTGTAGTTTGTACCTAGTAGTCCAGTGCATTAACACACAGTGCCATACCAGGACTCCTACCCCATGAGGTTGTTGTTGTTAAGTGCTGTTAAGTTGGTTCCGACCCATAGCGACCTTGTATAGGGTTTCTGAGGAGCAGCTGGTGAGCTTGAACTGCTAACCTTGCAGTTCAAATGGCTTTGCAGTCTGATGCGTTAATCCACAGTGCCACACCAGGACTGATGGAAGGCCAGAGATTAACTAGTTAAGTTATATGAATCCTGGTCATCTCAGTGGAGAACCCAGCTCTTCACCAAGTTCACATTTATCAATATGACTATCTTTCTTTAGCAGTATGTGTACTGCCAAGATTTCAGGGTTTTGTAGCTGTTGGAAACCTCTCCTGGTACTTCAGCAACTTTTCCTAAATACTGTTTTGGGTAGAAGTAGAGTCCTGGTGTGGTGCTGTAGGATAAGCACTGGACTGCTAATGACAAGGTTGGTGGTTCAAGCTTATCAGCCACTTTTTAAAAACCCTGTGTGGAGTTGCTAAAAGTTGAAACCGACTCGATGGCACTTAACAACAGAAGTGGACAAGGCTAGAGTGACACTTCATACACACCAGTAATCAGTTGTCATTAGCTCATGGCGACCTGTTAGAGTAGAGAAAGGGCTTTCAATAACTGATGGTTTTTGACGTAGATTGCCAGGTCTTTGTAGGCATCTTTGGATAGACTTACACCTCTGATCCAGTGTGTTAACAGTTTGCACTACCCAGGGAATCCAGTACATATGTATAGAATTTGTGAACTGCTCGGTGGTGGTGGTTGTTATTATGTGCCATGCAGTCGATTCCGACTCATAGAGACTCTGTACAGTTGCAAAATTGGAATAGAGGAATTTTGAAGTATTTTCATAATCTAAGAACACACACACACATCATTATTAAGTGCTGTTGAGTCAGTTCTGACTCACAGCTACCCTGTGTAGGGTTTGCAAGGCTGTACATCTTTTCAGAGCAGAATGTCTCATCTTTTATCTGTAGAGCCCTGGTGGGCTTTTACTGCTAACTTTGCGGTTTGCAGTCCAGTGCTTATCCTACACAGCCACTATGTTTCCCCACTCCCACATATATGTTTAAATTTACTTTTCTGAACACGTTTTTGGTCTGATTTGTTGACTGGACTTTGCAGTTTTGCTCTATCCTCAACCAGATTTAACATATTTCCCAGATGTATTTTCTCAAATAATAATTCCTTCTTTGGTGAGTTAGGACATATCTTTTGGATGCTGGCCAAACTCCAGCTCAGGTAATTATTCTGCTGTACTTTATTAGTAAAAAACAAACAAACAAACAAAAATTTCCCAGCTTTCAGTCGATGTGGTCTGTGCCTTCTTTTGGGCAGTGCTGTACTGTGGGAGTTGTCCTGTTTTGCCCCAGGAGTGGTGGGGTGTCTTGGTTAGTGAGAACTGTCTTGTTTTTCTGTAAAAAGGTCACTTCACTTGGGACAATTTCTGTTCTGAAAATATGGCCATTTAAAAAAACACTATTTAAAAATTTTTAAAAACGTCTTAAAACTTAGAGATTTTAATGACTTTCTTGGAAGAATACAAAAAGGATAGTTAGGTGCATAGGAACAAGATTGGTGCTGTTAAGTGCCGTCAAGTCAGTTCTGATTCATAATATCCTTCATATTATAGATCATTTGAACTTTTTTTTTTGCCATAACATTTATTATTATTACTATTATTTTTAATTTTTTATTGTAAATTTAGTGATGGTTTACAGACAAGATTATCAGCTTTACATTTAACAACTCATACACTTTGTTTTATCTCAGTCATTACAACAGTTATCCTGCTTCCTCCTTGTGATTCGTATATCCTTTCCATCCACCTTCTTATCCTTTTGATTTTGAATGATTGACCATTTTGTGGTGAGCATACTTTGTTAGTGTGGTTGGTGTGCATTTCTCCCCCCTTCCCCCATAAACCCATTTGCTGCTTGGCTGAAAATTGATCCACTAGGATGAGTTCCTTTCCAGACCTGAAGGGTCGTAGAGGGCCGTAGTCTCAGGTCCCTCTAGTCTCTTTCTGATCAGTTAATCCATTTTTTTTTTTTTTTAATTAACTAATTTTGAGTTTTGTGTTCCATATTTTCTCCCACTCTATCCAGGAACCTGTAACCTGGTCCCTTTCAGACTGA